CATTCGGGTCTGTCCTTTCCCACCCAACACCAGTGCAGGACGCAGGGTCCTGCCGGGCTCTTCCTGGGGTCAGAGCCCACGTGCCCCATGCAATGCCCAGCGCCCAGCACCCACAGCCCAACCTGCCAGCACCTCAGCCCAGCACAGCCACAAGTGGGCCCGGCCATGGGGCTATGGTGCAATGGGGGTATGGGGCCATGGGGTGATGGTGCTATGGGGCTGTAGGGCCGCGGTGCTGGAGCTCACCTTCTCCTGCCGCCAGCTCTCCATCCTGCTCCTGTGGTCCAACATGGGGGCAGCCGTCGGTGCGGGCCGGACACCGCTGTCCCCCCGCGTCCCCCCGTGTTCCCCCCGCCCGGATCTCCGCCCTTAGCTCATGGGGTGCCCCCGGTCCCCCCCCACGGCCGTCCCGTCAGGAGGGCTCGGGCCCGGCTCCCCACATCCCGGGGCGGCCCTCGGGGTGCGGGGTGCCCGCAGGCCCTCCTCCTGCTCTGCCTGCTGCCCCGTGGGGCGGTGGGGAGGCCGTGGGCGCCCGGCGGAGCGGTGCAGCCCGTCAGCGGGCGGCAGTTGTCATACCAACCACTCCGTGTCCTGGTCACCACCGCCAGCTCTCCAGCGGTCCCATGGAGACGGGCGACCGCGGCTCCGTGACAAAGGTGACAGTGCGACGGCCGCCGGCCCCACAGCGCCGGGGGGAGCCCCACGTGGGGCCCAACCGGCGTGGCCCCCCAGGACGACCCCATAGCGCTGGCCCCATAGCGCGGTGCCTGCCCCACAGTGGGGTGAAGCTGTGGGGTCGTGAGAGAAGCGTTAGGGCGCACTGGGGGGCTGCCCCAGAGGGGGCCATTCTGTGGGGTGAGGCTGCCCCATGGGGCCGGACCCACACCTGAGGCCACGCCCAACGCGGAGGCCCCGCCCACCTCAAGGCCCCGCCCACGCGCCAGGCTCCACCCACACGTGTACCATGGGTGTGGCCCCACCCCATCTCGGGCGCCCCGCCCACACTACAGGCCACGCCCTTCCAGACGGACACGCCCCATAGGCCACGCCCCCTGCATAGACCACGCCCCCACTGATGAAGCCCAGCATCCAGACCAGGCCACGCCCACAAAAGGCCCCGCCCTTCGCCCAGCATGACGTCAGTGCGACGCTGATTGGCTCTCCCCGCTCCGATGAGGCAGGTGGGCGGGGTCGGCCATCCTGCCGTACTGTCATTGGCTGAAAGACGGAAGGAGGGCGCAGCGAGGGTGGCGCCTGCGCAAGGCAGGTGTGGCCCCGTGGCAGTGACCGGCGTTGGGGTCACTTCCGGTCGCTGCCTTTCTGCTTCCGGGTCCCAAGCTCTCCCCTCCGCCGTCGCTTACGAACAGCCCCGCTGCGCCGGTACCGGGCGGGCGCGGCCTAGGGGTGCGGGGCGGGGCCTGGAGGGGCCGGGGGCCGCAGGGGACCGGGAAACAGCAGGGCAGAGGCAGCGGAGCCGCGCCGGGAGCGCTGCGGGGCGGAGGCTGCGGTGATGGGAGCTGGGAGGGAGGGGACGTGGGGTCCCGGTGTGGTTCTTTTGTGTCCGGGGGAGCTTTAGTGGGTTCCCATTGCGGTGCTGGGGCTCCCGGCGGGCTGCACTGCCCGGTGGGTCTCGGTGAGGTCGCGGTGCTTCCCGTTGGGCTCTGATGGATTCCTGGGGGGGTTCTGGGGCGTTCCCGGTGGACCCGATGCGGTAGTGGTGGGGTTCCGGGGGGTCCCGGCGGTTCCCGTTGGGGTCTTGAAGGCGCTCGGTGGGTTCCTGGTGGTGTCGGAACCAGACCCGTGGGGTCCGGTGCACCCAGTGGAATCCCGGTGTGTCCCAGCGTCAAACTGGTGTGCCCGGTGGGGTCCCGCTGGGCTCTCGTTGGGGTCTTTGTGGGTCCTAAGGAAGTCCCCGCGTGCCCCAGTCCTCCAGGTGGGCTCTGAGTGGCTCCCACTGGGGTCCTGGGTGGAGTCCTTGTGGGTCCTGGTGCGCCTGCTGAGCTCCCAGCGGCTGCTCTTGGGGTTCTGGTGGTTCCTGTTGAAGTCCAGATGTGCTCAGGTCCTGGTGGAGTCCTTGTGGAGTGCTGGTTGGTCCCTATGGGGTCCCTGTTGTGTTTGGTGTGCCCAGCGGTGTCCCAGTGGGTCCCAGTGTCATCTTGCTGTGCTCAGTGAGGTTTCTTTGCGTCCCCGTGGGCTTCTGGTCTGGTCTGTGCCCTGTGGGTCCCAGCATGGTGCTGGCAGGGTCCCCGTGGTCCCCTTGCCCACAGGACGCCGCTCAGCGCCCCGCTCTGCCCGCAGCGCCCGCCATGAGGCTGTACAGCCTGAGCGTGCTGTACAAGGCTGAGGCCCGAGTGCAGCTGCTGAAGGCGGCCTCCGATGTCTCCACCTTCAACTTCTTCCAGCGGTCCAGGTGAGCCCCCGACCCCCCTGCGTCCCCAGGGTGCGTGGGGCCACATTCTGCTTCCACACAGGAGGCACTGCCTTCTCATTATATCTCACTGCCTAATTACAACCCGCTTTGTCTCCCTGCTGGGCGCTGCCCGCTCAGGACCAGCCGGTTCAGCCCGGAGTTTGGGAGGGCTCAGAGCCCTGTGGGATGGGGCAGCAGCTGTTGGGCTGCTCGCTCACAGCGCTCCAGTTCCCAGCCCTGTCCACACTGAGGGTTTGTTGGAGCCTCTGGCGCGTCTGGTTCTGCAATTGCAGCGATAGAGGGAAATGCTTTTAAGTAAAACCATCTCAAAAAACCATTCTTTGGGCCAAATAAGTGAGGGGAGAGGGGGAGTTGGGGCAGCCCTGTCACACATGCACTCGAAGGTGGATTGAGCGCGGTGAAGTGATCTGCAGAGCCCACTGCTGCTTATCGTGGCTCTTTGCCGAACGCAGACATTTGCTGCAGAAAGGCTGTGCCTGTGCTGGGGGAAAATGCCCTGAGAAATCCCAGCACAAAACCCACCAGTGTTTCAGTGGGGCTGTGGGAGGGGAAGATGGGCCATGGGGATGGGCCGGGGGTAGCCTGTGCCCCACAGCCCCATGGGGCCACGCTCCTGGGTCGGTGAGAGCCGGCGTTTTGTGCTCGCAGCGTGCAGGAATTCATGACCTTCACCAGCCAGCTGATCGTGGAGCGCTCGGAGCTGGGCAGCAGGGCCTCGGTCAAGGAGCAAGGTGAGCGCCGTGCCTCCTCCAACCGCGCCTCCCCTCCCCGTGCTGGGCGGGCTGGAGCAGAGCAGGTCCAGGCCTGGAGTCCTGCTGAGCTCCCTCCTGGAGCACTGAGGGGCTCCGGACCCCCCCCAACCCCCCTCTCTGCCCAGACTACCTGTGCCACGTCCACGTGCGCGGTGACGGGCTGGCCGGCGTGGTGATCGCCGACAACGAATACCCGTCACGGGTGTGCTTCACTTTGCTGGACAAGGTGAGCGGTGCAGGCAGGATTTGTGTGTCACCTCGGGGGCTTCCTGGGGGTCTGTCAGCTCTGTGCTGGGGGAACAAACCCCGCTCCCTCACACGCAGGTCCTGGAGGAGTTCTCCAGGCAGGTGAGCAGGGCAGACTGGCCCTCGGGGTCTCCTGCCACCATCAGCTATGCAGCTCTGGATGGATACCTCAGCAAATACCAGGTATGGGACCCGGGCTTCCGGGCTGCTGTACGCGTCACTGCTGCGCTGACGCTGCTGTCTCCTCTCCCAGAACCCCCGTGATGCCGACCCGATGACCAGAGTGCAGGCAGAGCTGGACGAGACCAAAATAATCCTGGTGAGGCTGCAGCTGCTGCCCGTCCCTGCTCCCCTCTGCTCCGTCATGGGAGCTCCGTGCCATCAGCACCGCTTCCTTTTGGCAGCACAACACTATGGAGTCATTGCTGGAGCGAGGGGAGAAGCTGGATGATCTGGTGTCCAAATCTGAGGTGCTCGGTGTGCAGTCCAAAGCCTTCTACAAGACCGTGAGTGCGCTTTGCTTCGCCTCGGGGCTTCCCTGTGAGCTGTGGGATGGGATGAGGGCAGCGAGAAGCTCGGCTTCCCAGCTGTGGCTGTGGAGCTCCTCGACCCCTCCAGAGGAGCCGAACCTCGCGGCTGCGGCTTTGGACACGAGCTGAGCTGTCGGGCCGAGGTCAGCCCACGGCTGGGGCTGCGCTCACGCCATTTCCTCCACCTCTGCAGGCCCGAAAGCAGAACTCGTGCTGTGAGATTATGTGACCCGGAGCCGGGGCTCTCCTGCTCCAGCTCACCGGGGCCTTCGCTCCCGTTCGGATCTCGGCCGCTCCCAGGACTGAAAGCAGAACCCCGCGGGCTCCTGGGCCGCAGCCTTACCCAAAAACTGGACTCAGCGGCCCCTGTGCCGGGGGAGCGCCGTGCCCCGCCGTGACGCCTGTCACACCAGCGAGTGCCTCGGCCGTGGGACGGGGAGAGAGGAGCCGGGCCCCCCTGCAGGGCCTGAGGCTGTGCGGGGAGCGGGGGGGCTTTTATGGGGCTGCTGCACGGGGGGGAGGGGGAGGGGAGATGGGTTTCTGTGGTCTGCGGTGGGCTGGGGGCTCCGTGCTGCGTTCTGCCCCCTTCCTCCAGCAGAACCAGGGGCCGTGGGGGCAGGGAGGCACCCAGGGGACGTGGCACTGCACGGGAAGCCCTGCAGCATGGCGCTGGTGGGGGCTGTCACCTTGGGAATGGGTCTGAACCCCCACTTCCTGCCTGGCCCCTGCGGGCAGGTTTGGGGCGTGGGGCTCCCTGCTCATCGCCCCGTGGCAGCCAGGGGGGTCTCAGCCTCCAGCCCCACTCCTCGGGAAGGGCAAAGCTTTCGCTCGGGATGTAGTGTGATCGGTGTTGCCTGTTGTTTCCATGCTGGCCCATAAAGTTGTCTTTGACGGTTTGTAGCTCAGCTCTGCTTGGGCGTCCAGGGCTGGAATGTGAGGCTGGGGGCGGGGGGGCAGCAGCAGGGGGCAGCGCTACAGGAAAAGGCCGGGCAGCAGCGCGCTGTCGCCCCGCAGCGTCCACCGGGATTTCTTTGTCAACGGTTGTTTTTCCTCGTAATTTATTTGCAGTTTTTTTTCCCGAGACAAAAACGAAATCAGTCATCTTTTACACTTACAAGGCTCAGAAAGAAAAGACGAAGGGGTCCGAGGAGGGAAGGGGGGAAATGCTGGGGGGGGGGCGGGGGGGGAAGGGATGGAAAAGAACGAGAGAAAAGTGGAAAGGAGAGGGGAGAAAATTCGGCAACGATCCACCAGCATTCATGGGACAGAAACAGCTCAGCTCAGCTCCTGACATACAGCGTTAGCGCTCCAGGTGCTCCCGCGCAAAGTGCATGCAGAAAATAAACCCCCGCCCCCCCGAACCCCCCCGACCCACGGCCACAGCCACAAACAGCCCCAGCGACAACGGGTGCGGGATGGGGGCGTGGAGGGGGGGGGGCGTGGGGCGATGCCCCCCCCTCCCCCCCCAGAGCGGTGACCCCCGGAGGCCGGGTCGGATGCGGGGGGGGGCAGCAGCCTGTGCCCCCTAAGAGACCCCTTCTCTTAGTCTAAAGTGCTTGCGCCGCTGCCTGGGTGCTGGGTCGGCCCCGAGCCCCCGCCCCCTCCCCGCCCTTCGGGCCGGACCCCCTCCTCCCCCCCCCTCAAATTACGGAACTCCTGGCCCCCAACCCTCGGCGCGCCCCACACTTGTGGGGCAGAGCTACGGGCGGGGAGCAGTGGGTGGGGGTCGGGTGGGGGGGGGGGACGACACCGGCTGCTCCCGCGGGAATTCAAAAATAAAGAGCTCTCTCTATGTACAGGGACCCGGGGAGGGAAGGAGCGAAAGCGGAGTCCAAAGAACAACATCCACCACCAGCAACAGCGAAACTCCACAAGCACGGCCGGGGGGGGATCCGGGCAGCCCCCCCAGCCCGGCACAGACGGAGGAGGAGGGAGGGGGACACCGCGGACGTCCGCGTGCTCCGGCGGCCCCTCCGTGCCAACGGGTGGTTGGGGGAGGAAGAACGTGGGGAGGAGAAGTGGGGGAAAGGGAGGGGGGCGATTTTTGACCGTTTTCCGTCGTTTTGGCTTTTTTTTGTCTTTTTTTTTTCTGCAAACACAGGCACCGGGCGGAGAGGGGCCGGGGGGGGGAGGGGGGCACAAGGCATGCGGACGCGCGTTCCGGGACCGCGGCACCCGGCCGGCGGCTCGGCCTCGGCGGGGGTCTCGGGGTGGGCTGACGGGGCCGGGGCGCTCGGAGGGGTCCGGAGGCGGCGGGACCCCCCCAGGCCGCCCTCACCTTCACTGGAGGGGAGCGACGGGGGCCCCCGAGCCGTGGAAGTGGACGTTCTGCCACTTGCCGTCGCGGCGGTGCCACACGCGCGTCTCCTCCGACTGGCTGGTGCGCGGGCGGCCCTGCGCGTCCAGGTACTGCGTGAGGCGGATGTAGGCGATGCACGCCGCGTCCTCCCCGATGACGTGGACGTGGGGGTTCAGGATGGTCGTGTGGATCGGTTTGTTGTTCTTGGACAGCACTGCGGGGCGGCAGCGTCAGCGCGGGGCGGCGGGGCGGGGTGTGGGGTGGGCAGGATGCAGGTAAAGGGAAGGGAGGCAGGAAGGGAAGGGAGGCAGGAAAGGAAGGGAAGGGAAGCAGGAAGGGAAGGGAAGGGAAGCAGGAAGGGAAGGGAGGCAGGAAGGGAAGGGAGGCAGGAAAGGAAGGGAAGGGAAGCAGGAGGGAAGGGAGGCAGGAAGGGAAGGGAGGCAGGAAGGGAAGGGAAGGGAAGCAGGAAGGGAAGGGAAGGGAAGCAGGAAGGGAAGGGAGGCAGGAAGGGAAGGGAGGCAGGAAGGGAAGGGAAGCAGGAAGGGAAGGGAAGCAGGAAGGGAAGGGAAGGGAAACAGGAAGGGAAGGGAGGCAGGAAGGGAAGGGAGGCAGGAAGGGAAGGGAAGGGAAGGGAGGCAGGAAGGGAAGGGAAGGGAGGCAGGAAGGGAAGGGAAGCAGGAAGGGAAGGGAGGCAGGAAGGGAAGGGAGGCAGGAAGGGAAGGGAAGGGAAGCGGGAAGGGAAGGGAGGCAGGAAGGGAAGGGAAGGGAGGCAGGAAGGGAAGGGAGGCAGGAAGGGAAGGGAAGGGAGGCAGGAAGAGAAGGGAAGCAGGAAGGGAAGGGAAGGGAAGCGGGAAGGGAAGGGAGGCAGGAAGGGAAGGGAAGGGAGGCAGGAAGGGAAGAGAAGCAGGAAGGGAGGCAGGAAGGGAAGGGAGGCAGGAAGGGAAGGGAGGCAGGAAGGGAAGGGAAGCAGGAAGGGAAGGGAGGCAGGAAAGGAAGGGAAGCAGGAAGGGAAGGGAAGGGAAGCAGGAAGGGAAGGGAGGCAGGAAGGGAAGGGAAGGGAGGCAGGAAGGGAAGGGAAGGGAGGCAGGAAGGGAAGGGAAGGGAGGCAGGAAGGAAAGGGAAGGGAAGCGGGAAGGGAAGGGAAGCAGGAAGGGAAGGGAAGGGAGGCAGGAAGGGAAGGGAAGCAGGAAGGGAAGGGAAGGGAGGCAGGAAGGGAAGGGAAGCAGGAAGGGAGGCAGGAAGGGAAGGGAGGCAGGAAGGGAAGGGAGGCAGGAAGGGAAGGGAAGCAGGAAGGGAAGGGAAGCAGGAAGGGAAGGGAAGGGAGGCAGGAAGGGAAGGGAAGCAGGAAGGGAGGCAGGAAGGGAAGGGAGGCAGGAAGGGAAGGGAGTCAGGAAGGGAAGGGAAGCAGGAAGGGAAGGGAGGCAGGAAAGGAAGGGAGGCAGGAAAGGAAGCAGGAAGGGAAGGGAAGGGAAGCAGGAAGGGAAGGGAGGCAGGAAAGGAAGGGAGGCAGGAAGGGAAGCAGGAAGGGAAGGGAAGGGAAGCAGGAAGGGAAGGGAGGCAGGAAGGGAAGGGAGTCAGGAAGGGAAGGGAAGCAGGAAGGGAAGGGAGGCAGGAAAGGAAGGGAAGGGAGGCAGGAAGGGAAGGGAAGCGGGAAGGGAAGGGAGGCAGGAAGGGAAGGGAAGCAGGAAGGGAAGGGAAGGGAGGCAGGAAGGGAAGGGAAGCAGGAAAGGAAGGGAAGGGAAGCAGGAAGGGAAGGGAGGCAGGAAGGGAAGGGAAGCAGGAAGGGAAGGGAAGGGAAGGGAGGCAGGAAGGGAAGGGAGGCAGGAAGGGAAGCAGGAAGGGAAGGGAAGCAGGAAGGGAAGGGAGGCAGGAAGGGAAGGGAAGGGAGGCAGGAAGGGAAGGGAGGCAGGAAAGGAAGGGAAGCAGGAAGGGAAGGGAGGCAGGAAGGGAAGGGAAGGGAGGCAGGAAGGGAAGGGAGGCAGGAAGGGAAGGGAAGGGAAGCGGGAAGGGAAGGGAGGCAGGAAGGGAAGGGAAGGGAGGCAGGAAGGGAAGGGAGGCAGGAAGGGAAGGGAAGGGAGGCAGGAAGGGAAGGGAAGGGAGGCAGGAAGGGAAGGGAAGCAGGAAGGGAAGGGAAGCAGGAAGGGAAGGGAAGCAGGAAGGGAAGGGAGGCAGGAAGGGAAGGGAAGGGAAGCAGGAAGGGAAGGGAGGCAGGAAAGGAAGGGAAGCAGGAAGGGAAGCAGGAAGGGAAGGGAAGGGAAGCAGGAAGGGAAGGGAGGCAGGAAGGGAAGGGAGTCAGGAAGGGAAGGGAAGCAGGAAGGGAAGGGAGGCAGGAAAGGAAGGGAAGGGAGGCAGGAAGGGAAGGGAAGGGAAGCGGGAAGGGAAGGGAAGGGAGGCAGGAAGGGAAGGGAAGCAGGAAGGGAAGGGAAGGGAGGCAGGAAGGGAAGGGAGGCAGGAAGGGAAGGGAAGGGAAGCAGGAAGGGAAGGGAGGCAGGAAAGGAAGGGAAGCAGGAAGGGAAGCAGGAAGGGAAGGGAAGGGAAGCAGGAAGGGAAGGGAGGCAGGAAGGGAAGGGAGTCAGGAAGGGAAGGGAAGCAGGAAGGGAAGGGAGGCAGGAAAGGAAGGGAAGGGAGGCAGGAAGGGAAGGGAAGGGAAGCGGGAAGGGAAGGGAAGGGAGGCAGGAAGGGAAGGGAAGCAGGAAGGGAAGGGAAGGGAGGCAGGAAGGGAAGGGAAGCAGGAAAGGAAGGGAAGGGAAGCAGGAAGGGAAGGGAGGCAGGAAGGGAAGGGAGGCAGGAAGGGAAGGGAAGCAGGAAGGGAAGCAGGAAGGGAAGGGAGGCAGGAAGGGAAGGGAAGGGAGGCAGGAAGGGAAGGGAGGCAGGAAAGGAAGGGAAGCAGGAAGGGAAGGGAGGCAGGAAGGGAAGGGAAGGGAGGCAGGAAGGAAAGGGAGGCAGGAAGGGAAAGGAGGCAGGAAAGGATGCAGGAAAGGAAGGGATGTAGGTGAGAATGCAGGCAGGATGCAGCAGATGTACAGCAACAGAGACGGGGATGACAGGCAGGCACTGAAGGGCAGGACGGGCAGGCAGGAGGAGAGGCAGCAGCGGCACTCACGGTTCTCGAAGTAGAAGCGGTGGAAGTCCATGCCCTCCACCAGGTTGCCCAGAGCTTCGGGCTCGAAGGAGGTGAGCCCCGGGTCGCAGATCTTCCTGCAAAGCGCTGCGTCAGCCTCAGCCCCCCCCGAGCCCTGCCCCCCCCCGACCCCACTCACGCGTAGGCCTCGAAGTCCCCGTTGTTGACGGCCTCGATGAGCTGCTCTGTGATCTTAATGATCTCCTGCTTGCGGGCTGCGGGGACAGCGGGGTCACGGTACGGCCCCAAGGGGGGAGGGGGGGACACAAAGACCATGAGGACACACGGACGGACGCACAGCGTGGGGACAGACCGAGCCCTGAGCCGGACGTGTGGATGATGAGGACGTGGGGATGGACACACGGACCTCGAGGACACAGAGGGGATGCTGACACCCTGCTCCCACTGCCACCCCAGTGCACTCCGACACCCCAGTGCCATCCTGTCGCACTGCACCACATCCCAGTTCCGACCAGTGCATCTCACCCACATCCCAGTGCCAACAAATCCACCCCAGTGACCTTCCAGCACATCCCAGTGCGGCTCAGTGCCTCCCACGCCACCCCTGTGCACCCCACTGACATTCCAGTGCAGTGCATCACCGCCCCATTGCTTCCCATGCGCCCCGGTGCCACCCAAACTGGACATCCCAGCACACCTCGACACAGCACCGTCCTGCTGCGCCCCACTGCCATTCCAGCACACCTCAGTACATCCCAGTCCCATCCCAGTGCACTGCAGGACCATTCTGTCACCTCCCAGCACTCCCCAGTTCCACCCTGCGCATCCCAATGCCACCCCAAGGCATCCCAGCGCTGCCTCCGAGGGCCCCACTGCATTCCCATGCCATCTCACTGCAGCCAATTGCATTTTGATGCCATCCCAGTGCCATTCCAATGCAACCCAGTGCATCCTAGCACCATTCCAGTGCATCCCAGTGCATCCTTGTGCCATCCCAGTGCATCCCAGTGCCATCCCAACGCATGTTAGTGTCTCCCAGCTCCATCCCAGTGCCATTCCGATGCATCTTAATGCATCCTAGCTCCATTCCATTGCATCCTGGCTCCATCCCAGTACATCCCAGTGTCTCCTAGCTTCGTCCCAGTGCTTCCCAGTGCCATTCCAGTGCATCCCAGCTCCGTTCTAATGCAACTCAGTGCCCCCAACGCCCCCACCCTCCCCTGCCCCCATCACCTTTGGTGTCCTCGTCCTCGATGGTGGTGTTGGTGCTGTCGGACGACTCCTGCCGGCGAGGGGGGGCAGCGGTGCGGGGGGAGAGACAGAGGGGTGGGGGGGTCAGCACCCATTTTGGGGGGAGGAGGGGGGGAACCACGCGCCCCAGCCGTGGGGGTGACGCCTCCCTGGGACCAGCGGGAGCCCCCAGCCCCGAACAGATGGGAGATGGGGGGAGGATGGAGGCGGAAAGCGGAGGGGGGCAGCAATACCTTAATGCCGTCCGCAGGGTTATGAATTACTGTAGTTTGAGGCTCCTACAGGAGAAGGAAGAGAGACAGAGGAGGAGGAGGAGAGAGGGGGAGGAAGGAGGCGAGGAGAGACCAGAGCACAGCGGCGTGGGGGGGGGGGGGGGCAGGGGGCACGCGGACGGGGGCACAGACCCACAGCGGGTGGGGAGGGCGGGGGGGAGAGAAGCAGAGAGTCGTTAGTCCAGCAAAGCGACACGGTTTAATTGAGAGAGAGCGAGGAGAGGGGGAGAAAAAGGGAGGGGGGGGAGGGGGGCCACGTCTTGCACCCACCGTGCGGGGGGCACGGCGCCCACATCCTGAGCCCAGTGCTCTGACCTGGAGGTGGGGGGGCTCTGCACCCCCTGCTCTGCCCCACACAGCGCCCCGCGCCCGCGCTCCGCACCCACCTCGCCTCGGCGTCCTGGGGCAAACCTGGCGCCTTCAGGTCCCGCAGCCGCCCGGCCCCCGGCCCCCGCCGCGCAGACCGGCGCTCTTCCCCTCCAGCAGCCGGTCGGGACGCGTCCCGCACCCACCGTCCGTCGGGGTCCCGGTGCCGCCCCACGTCCGCGCCCACGTCCTTCCCGACCCCCCCGGCCCCCCCCCCGTCCCTCCCCAGCAGCTCCCGGCGTTGTCCCCGCGTCGCTCCCGCACCCACCTGCCCCGCAGCTGCCTCTGCGCCCACATCCTGCACCGCAGCCGGGGGGGCCGTGAGCCCCGCGATGCTTTGGGGGCGCTTACTGACTGCCGGGGGGGGCACTTACTGTTGGGGGGGGTCCCCGCTCCCCCCTTCCCCACTCCGTGACCGGCCGTGCCGCTGGCGAGCATGGCGATGGATGCGATGGGATGGAGGGATGGAGGGGGGGGCGTGGGAGGGGGAGCTGTGCGGGGGGGGCACCTACCAGCGCTGCGGGCGGCAGCGTCCCCTTGGGGCTGGTGACGCCGGCGCTGCCTTTGGTGCTGTTGGTCTGGGGCTGCGGGGACGGACGTGGGGGGATCAGCGAGGGCAGCTCGAGGGGGGGTCATCCCCTTTGTGACCCCCACCCCCCACCCCCCGTCCCCTCACCTTGACGCCGTCAGCCTTCTTGTTGAGCAGACTCTTAGCTGCTGCGGGGGAGAAAGCAGAGGGTCAGAGCTGCGTGTCCCCGCGTGGGGACTGGGCCACCGTCCCCTCCCGTCCCGGGGGGGCACCGGGGGGGCACAGCGGGGGCCGGGGGTTGGCTTACCTTGGAGAAATGCAGAGAGGAAAGCGAGAGAGAGAGAGAAAGAGAGAGAGAGAGAGAAGGGGCGAGAGAGACAGGAAGGGGGGGGTGGGGAAAAAAAGGGGGAAAAGGGAAAAACAAAACAGAAAAACACAAAAATCGTCTCTGAGCGCAGGCGGCGGCCCCGGACCCCGCAAACCGTGCAGGGGGGCACCGGGACGTGGGGCGGCCGCCCCTCCTGGCCTGACCTATGTGGGGCGGGGGGCGCGCGGCACGGGGGGGGGCGCGCCGCTGTGTCCCCCCCTCCAGCGCCGATGTCACCTGCGGGCGTCCTCAGCTCCGTCCTCAGCGGGCCGTGTCGGGGATGGCAGCGCCGGGGGGGGGTCAGCGCGGGACCCATTTGGTGGGTGGGGGGGGGGACGGGGAAGGGCGGGGGGGGACACGGGGACACCCCCGTGGCACAGCCGTGTCCCCGGGGTGCGGGCCCTCCTCGGGAAGCGGGCTGGGGGCTGCGGCGCTGGGGGTCGGGGTCTAAACCAGAGCCATCGGGGGGGTCCCCGGGGGGGGCTCGCTGGCTGTGGGGGGGTTTAAGACCCGCCGAGTGTTTCGCGGCACCACAAACACCGGCTGCAGCGCAACGGGGCCGTGCGGGCACACTGCAGCGCAGCCCCCAGAGGGGAATGCAGCCCCCATGCGGCAATGCAGCCCCCTCCCATGTGCTTGCACGAAGCCCCTCCCACCCCCCCATGCAGCGGCACCACTTCCCCCATGCACGGGTGCAGCCCCCATGCAGCAGCGCAGCCCCCCTGCAGCAGAGCGATGCTGTGGGATGGAGCAGCAGCCTTGGGGTCGGCACACCCCCAAATGTGGGGGAGGGGGGAGGTTGGCTCTGAAATTCTCCCTGACCCCCCCCCCATCCCACTGTGTGCCATCGGGTGATGGGTGCTATGATGGGTGCTGGGGGCCATGGGGTGCCACAGTGGGTCCCGGTAGGGGGCTGGGGTCCATAGGGGGTCCCAGGTGTCACCACGGGTGCCGGGTGCCGCAAGGCTTCCAGCTGCCGCAGGGCTCCCTGGTGACATGGAAGGTCCCAGGTGACACAGGGGGGTCTTGGGTACCAAAGGGGTGCCAGGTACCACGAGGGTCCCATGTGCCATGGGGATCCCAGGTGACACAGGGTCATGGGTGACACGGGGATCCCACGTGCCATAGGGATGCCATATCCCATGGGGTCCTGGGTGACACGGGGGTCCCAAGGGCCGTGAGCATCCTGGGTGCCGTGGGGTCCAGGGGTCCCACAGCACTGTGGCACAGGGAGCACCCGCAGCCCACGGCCCCACGCAGCCCCGGAGTGGGGACACAAGCGGTGACAGGGACACCGTGTGCCAGCGGGGGGGGTTGGGGAGGCACCTCCCTCCCCAGGAGCAGCCGGGGGGGTGGGGGGGACACAGGCAGAGAGGTGGACAGGCAGACGGGGGGGGGTCCCATGCGTGCGGTGCCATTCCCGAGGAGGGACCCCGAGCCTGGAGGGGGAGGAAGAGGAGGAGGAGGAGGAGTGGGGTGGGGGGGACCAGAGGCAAGCGGGCGGCACGGGGGGGGTCCGTGCGGCGTCTACCTTGTTCCACCAGCCCCAGGGGGGCCGCGGCGGCCGACATGGAGGGAGGCGCGGTGGTCTGTCTGCCCACTGCGGGGCGGGCAGCGAGAGGAGAGAAAGGAAGCGACCCCGTTAGGTGGGCACGGGGCGGGAGGCCCTGCTGGGGGTCACCCCACATCGCCTCCTGGCTTCCCCCCCCCCAGCCCCGTTACCGCACGGCGCGGCCGTCCTGGCGTCAAAATGGGGTGGGGGGAGTTTGGAGGGAGGGGGAAAGAGAGAAAGAGAGCGGCAGCGAGCGGGGCCAGGCCCGGGGACGCGGGGGGTGGCGAGGCGTCCCGGGGCCGGGAGGGGGGGGGCTCACCTGAGAAGTTCCGGGTGGCCAGCATGGTGGTGAGGATGGCGCCCTGCAATGGCAGCGGGTCAGAGCGGCACCGGGCCGGGGGGCGTTGGGACGGGGGGTGGGGGGTGGCAGGGGGATACGGCTGGGAAAGCACAGGGACACCCAGGACACCGCTGGGGGACACGGGAAGGCAGGGCAGGACTGAAACAAAGCCAGGTGACACTGTGACAGGGTCAGGGCGACACCGCAGCACAGACAGGTGACACCAGGACGCGGCTGCGCTGGGACATGGGGAGCATCAGGACATGGGTGGGATGGGGCCAGGGACAAAGTTGGGCACTGGGACGTCGCAAAAGGGGACCGTGGGACACAAGGGGGTGCCACGGTGACACAGTGGGATGCGGTCAGGGAGGGAGTGGGAGATACGGGACACAGCAAAGCCCTGCGATGGGGCTGCAGTCGGAATGGGACGTCCTGGGATGGAACCGGGGGAGACGGGAGAGCACCGGGATGGGGCTGAGGACACGGGAGGGCGTGGGGACACGGCAGGATGGGGACACGGCGGGATGGGGACACGGCGGGATGGGGACACGGCGGGATGGGGACACGGCGGGATGGGGACACGGCGGGACGAGCTGGGATGGGACCCCAGCCCACCTTCAGCTTCCTGCGGGCGTTGAACTTCTTCAGGCACTCCACCGTCTCCTGTCTGTGCATCATGGAGGCCACGGTGGAGCGTTGCTGTGGGGACAGCGGGGTCAGCGGGGAGCGCGTCCCACGGGGACGGCGTGGGCTGGGGGCCAGGAGGGGCAACACTTACGCAGACCCACGGGTGTTTGAGGGCCTCGTGGGCCGTGATGCGCTTGGCGGGGTTGATGGTCAGCATCTGGTTGATGAGGTTCTTGGCTTCGGGGGTGACCGTGTCCCACTCGGGGGAGGGGAACTGCGGGGACACAGCAGGACGGGGCGGGGAGGGGGCGGCCGTGAGCCTCCGTCCCTGCAGGGGGGGCCGGGGGTGACGGCGCACTCACATCGTAGGCGCCCGCCTTGATCTGCTGGTACAGCTTGTGCTGGTCCTCGTCCCAGAAGGGCGGGTATCCCACCAGCAGGATGTAGAGGATCACCCCTGTGCCACACAGACGTCAGCACGACTGGCAGCGGGGGGCAGCGATGGGGGGGCGGGGGGTCAGCAAAGACTGCAGAGGGATCGACGTGGGAACGGGGTGGGGGTCGGTGCAGAGACCAGGGCGGGCAGCAGTGTAAACTGGATTGGGAGCAGGATGAACTGCAATGGGATCAGAGCGGGGACTGGGTGGGGAGCTGCTGGGAAGGGGACTGGGATGGGAGTCAGTGAGGAGTGGGATGGGGATGGGGTTGGGATGGGGATGGGGATGGGATGGGGATGGGATGGGGATGGGGATGGGGATGGGATGGGGATGGGGATGGGATGGGGATGGGATGGGGATGGGGATGGGGATGGGGATGGGGATGGGGATGGGGATGGGATGGGGATGGGGATGGGATGGGGATGGGGATGGGGATGGGGATGGGGATGGGGATGGGGATGGGGATGGGGATGGGGATGGGATGGGATGGGATGGGGATGGGGATGGGGATGGGGATGGGGATGGGGATGGGATGGGGATGGGATGGGATGGGATGGGATGGGGATGGGGATGGGGATGGGAGGGGATGGGGATGGGATGGGGATGGGGATGGGATGGGGATGGGGATGGGGATGGGGATGGGATGGGGATGGGATGGGATGGGGATGGGGATGGGGATGGGGATGGGGATGGGAGGGGATGGGGATGGGATGGGGATGGGGATGGGATGGGGATGGGGATGGGATGGGGATGGGGATGGGGATGGGGATGGGATGGGGATGGGGATGGGAGGGGATGGGATGGGATGGGGATGGGGATGGGAGGGGATGGGATGGGATGGGGATCAGGACTGGAACAGAACCGGGATGGGGAGCGGGATGGGAGCAGGGTGGGAATCCCTTTGAGGACATGGGTGGGGACCAGGATAGAGTGGAACGGGTCCAGTATGGGGACTGGGAAGGAACCAACGTGGGATCAGGATGGGGACCAGAATGGGGACGGAGACGGGGACCAGGACGGGATGGACGGGACAGAGGGGATGGGAGCGGGGACAGGAGGGACGGGGACGGGATGCAGGCGATGGGGGTCCCGGGGTCAGGGCGGGGGTCCCTTACCGCAGGCCCAGATGTCCACAGGTTTGCCGTAGGCCTCCTTGCGCAGCACCTCGGGGGACAGGTAGCCGGGCGTGCCGGCGAAGCCTGGATGGGGCAGGGGCTGAGCGGGGGGCCGGGGCTGCGGGGGGGCCGGGGTGGGGGCACTCACCGAACCAGGCCTGCTGATCGCCCTGCACCTCGATGGCCAGCCCAAAGTCGGCCAGCTTCACCGCCGCGCCCTTACACTTGCTGGCCAGCAGGAGGTTCTCCGGCTGCGGGAGGGATGGGGGGCGGCCCCACATCATCACCCCGCATCGTCGCCCCACATCATGGCCCCACATCATCGCCCCAGGGCCGCAGACCCACAGGACATAGAGGGCCGCAGGGGGCCGCGCTCACCTTGAGGTCTCTGTGCACGACCCCCATTTGGTGACAGTGCAGGACGGCCTCCAGGATCTGCTGGATGCAGTGGCTGCGGGCAAACAGCCCAGGGGTCAGCAGGCACCACCAGCCCCCGACCCAAAACCCCACTGTGGGGGCACAGCGACCCCCAATCCTCACGCCGAGCCTAACCCTGACCCCAAACCACAGCCCTAACGCTGAGCCTAACCCCATACCCTGACTCTTTTACCTGACCCTTAACCCTAAACCCTGAACTCAAATCACAACCCTAACCCCAAACCCCGATTCAAACCTCGACCCCTTTACCCTGACCCTAACTCTAAACCATTACCTTAACAATGACCCCAAATCATAACCCTGACCCCAAACTATAAACCTAACCCTCACCCTGACCTTAAGCTGTGACCCCAAACCATGACCCTAATGTTCACACTAATCTGTACCACAACCCTACCCCAAATCCAGACCCAAACCGACCCTACCATTCACCCTAACACTGACCTTAACCCTTAATCTGTGGCCCTGACCACAAACCATAACCCTGACCCTGACCCCAACCCCAAACCTCGACCCAAACCCACTCAGCCATGCTGTGCTGCACACATGGGCGCCCCCCACCCCAAGGAGAGCTGGGGGGGGAAAGTTGGGGGGGGACGACGGGACACCGGGTGCCGCTGTGCCCCCCCCGCTGGGGACCCCCAGACAGGACGGACAGGGAGCGGGAGGGCAATGAGACGAGACAAGAGAGGGAGGAGCGGGAGATGAGAGCTGAAATGGGGGTGAATGGGGCACCGGGGGGTGGGGGGGGAAGCGGGGGCGACCTCCCCACAGCTTATCATTGTTGCGGGCTTTTTAATGATTCCTTTTGGAGGGGGAGCGGAGAGGGACCAAAAAAAAACGATTGTTTAAATTTATCTTTTTCTTTTTCAAGGGGGAAATTGGAGAAAGGAGGAGGAAGCCCCAAAGCTGGGGGTGCGGAGAGGGGGAGCGCGAGGCTCCGGCTGGGCGGGGGGCACAGCCCCCCCCGGACCCCCTCCCCGTTTATACTGACCTGAAGCTGCCTGCGCGCAAAGGCAAAGTGATGGGTGTGAGAAACGCGTGCTAATAGCTCATGGACACAGTGACTGCAAAACAAAACGGGGGGCGGGGGGCGGCGGGATGGGGCGAGATGGGGGGCACGGGGGGGGGCAGGTTTGGGGTTATAGAATAGGTGTGGGGTGGGTTAGGGCATGTGGGGCAGGGAGGGGGCAGGTATGGGATGAAGGGGGCAGGGGAGCAGGTTAGGGGTTATAAGGTGGGTTATGGGGTGGGTTTATGGGGCAGGAGGGCAGGGATGGGGGTTGGGTTTAAAGGCAGGGGGGCAGGGGGGGCAGGTGTGGGGTTGGGGGGCAGATGAGGGGGTGTAAGGCAGGGCCGGGGGTACGGAGAAGTTATGGGAGCAGGTCGGGGGGGCAGGTGAGGAGTTATAGGGCAGGCGGGGGGGGGAAGGAGCGGGCGTGGGGTTGTGGGGCGGTGAGGCGGTGGGGGGGATTAAGGGATCGGAGGAGGCAAAACGTGGGGAACGGGGAGGGGGGGGGAGCAGCGAGCAGAGGGGCAGCGGTGGGACAGACAGAGAGACGTGGACACACGGACACCACAGAGCCACGCGTGATGGGAGACGGGGGGAGGGGACAACGGGGACGGGGGACAAAGGAGAGGAGACGGGACCGGGGAGCGGGGGGGTGGGGGGGGAACGGGGGGAGATGGGGGGGAACGAGAGAAGGGGAGAAACAATGTTGTGAAAGCCCAGAGACCACGGGACGGGCAGACGGCGGCACACAGGGCAGCACCGGGGGGGGGGGGGGGGGGGAGGGACACGGGGCGACCCCGAAGCGGGATGGAGCCGGGGGGCGGAGGGGGGGAAGGGGAAACGGGGGTGACGGGCGCTGCCCCCGGCCCGCAGCGCGGCGTCCCGGCTCCTCCCGCACCCCGCGCCCCCCCCCGCAGCGCCCGGGGCCGGGGGGCCTCACCTGGCGTCCGCTTCGCTGTAGTATTCGCGGGCCACGATGTCCTCGAACAGCTCCCCGCCCGTCACCCTGCGGGCACAGCGCCGCGGGGACACCGCGCCGTCAGCCCCCTCGCAGACCCCATCTGGGACCCCCCCCACTCCCCTCTTGGGGACCCCCGCCGGGTCGCCCCGCACTCACAGGTCGAACACGAGGTAGTGGAAGCCCTCCTCCGAGATGCTGTCGTGGAGCCGCACTGTGGGGACAGGGAGGGGCTGAGGGGACGGCGGGTGGCGCCCGACCCCCCCCACGTGTCACCCAGCACGCCCTATATGGGGACACCCGGTGCGTCCCCAGCAGCACCCAGCTTGCCCTCAGTGTCCCCAGTGCGTCCCCGTGGCACCCAGCAGCAGCCACGTGTCCTTACGTGTCACCCAGCACTTCCTCAGGTGGCACCTCGTGTGTCACCAAGTGCCACCAGGTGTCACCCGCTACGTTCCCAGCTGGCCCCCGGTGCCACCCGGTGTCCATAAGTGCCACCCAGCAGCACCCAGGTGCCACCCAGAGATCCCCAGCAGCACCCAAGTGCCACCTGGCCTGTCCCCAAGTGCCACCCAGGTGCCAACCAGCTGACCCGAGTGCCACCCTGGTGACCACAAGTGTCACCCAGCAGTCCCCAGGTGCTGCCCCTCACCACCGGGTGCCACCTCGTGTCCCCAGCCTCTCCCCGAGTGCCACCCTGTGCCACCCAGCTGTCCCCAGGCGCCACCTGGTGTCCATAAGTGTCACCCAGCTGTCCCTGGACGTCACCTGGCCTGCTCCCAAATGTCACCCAGGTGCCACCCAGGTGTCCATAAGTATCACTCTGCAGCACCCAAGTGCCACCCCACCCACACCCCCAGTTGCCAACCTGTCTGCAGGTGCCACCCAGGTGTCCATAAATGCCACCAGCAGCCCCCAGGTGCCACTCTGCGACTCCAGGCGCCACCCAATTGTCCCCAGGCACCCCCTGCTATCCATAAATGCTGCCCAGCAGCACTCAGGTGCCACTCAGCCTGCTCCCAAGTGTCACCCAGGTGCCACCCAGGTGTCCATAACTGCCACTCCTCAGCACTGAGGTGCCACCCTGCACCCCCAGTTGCCAGTCAGGTGTCCCCAGGCGCCACCTGGTGTCCCCAGCAGCACCAAGGTTTCACTGTACACCCTTACGTGCCACCCAGCTGTCCCCAGGCGCCACCTGGTGTCCATAAACGCCACCCAGCAGCGCACAGATGTCACCCGGCCCGTCTCCAAGTGTCACCCAGGTGCCACCCAGCCGTCCTGAAGTGCCACCCTTCTGTCCATAAGTGTCACCCAGCTGTCCCCAGGCGCCACCTGGTGTCCATAAGTGTCACCCAGCAGCACCCAGATGCCACCCAGCCTGTTCTCAAGTGTCACCCGGCTGCCACCCAGCTGCCCCCAGGTCCCACCCAGCCGTCCCCAGCAGCTACTTCAATGCCACCCAACTGTCCCCAGGTGTCCCTTGCTATCCATAAATGCCACCCAGCAGCACCCAGCTGCCACCCGGCCTGCCCCCAGTCGCCACCCAGGTGTCCATCAGTGTCACTCTGTAGCACTGAGGTGCCACCCCACACCCCCAGGTGCCACCCTACTGCCCATAAGCGTCACCCGGCAGCATCCAGATGCCACCCCCCGTGTCCCCAAACGCCACCCAGCCACCCCCACCCCGCTCACCGATGTTGGAGTGTTTCAGCAGCCGGCAGATGCGCGCCTCCCTCTCCAGCTTCTGGTGGTCTGGGGCACAGCGAGAGCCACCGCCGTCACCTCGCTGTCACTGCCCCCAGCCCAGCCCTCAGCCCCCCTCCACTGCTCACACGCTGCTCACACTCACACTCACACTCACACTCACTCACACTCACACATCCACGCACACCCGGGGCCCAGTGGGGCAGCAGGATGGGAGCGGGATGGCACAGCCCCATGGGGCAGCAGCGGTGTCACAGCACAGGGGATGTGGGGCCGAGGGGGGGCTGTGGGAGGCCCTACCTCTGGCTGAGAGCTTCTTGGTGTTGATGATCTTGGCAGCGTACTCATGGCCGGTGCACAGCTTGACGCAGCGCCGGACCACCGAGAAAGCCCCCCTGGGGACGATGGGGACGCGCTCAGTGTCACCACCCCCCACCCCCCAGCACGGCCCCCCCAGTCCCCCCGACCCCCTCCCCATGACTCAGCACCCACGGCCGTGACTCAGCGCCGGGTGAACCCCAGCACTTGGGGGGGGGGGGACACCCCCAAACGCCCCCAAGCTATGGGGATTTTGGGGGGGGGAGGGGGAGATGGCACGGTGTGGTGACAACGTGGGGAGCGGGTGGCACGGAGGGGGGGTCGCGGCGGCGTGGGCAGCAGCCGGCACCCGCAGCACGTTGCCATGGGGACGGCGGTGGCCCGGATGGTGGTGGGGGTGGGCGCAGGGACAGCGGCCCCCCCAGGATTGGGGACAGCGATGCGGCCACCAGCGGCAGCGGCAGCGCCCCCCCCACAGCATCGCTCGAGCTCTGTGTGCCCCCTCCCTCCCCCCCCCCACCCAGGACAAATGTCCCCACCCGGCGGCACCGCGCTCTGAATGGGGGTCACAGCCCCCGGGGGATGGGGGGGGGGGCACCCAAAGGGGTCACAGTCGCCACTGCTGTGTCCTCGCTGTGCCCCCCCCCGGCACACACGGGGGGGTCCCCGAGGCCCTGCCACCACTGGGAGCCCCCTAGGGTCTGACCCCCCCCCCCCACACAAAGGGCCTGAGGGCCACAGGAGGTGACAGGGATTGTTGTACCCCCCCCCCCAGCCACCCAGTGCCTCAGTTTCCCCAAGGGGGGGCTGCAGGCTGGGGGGGGATGCGTGGCGCTGGCGGTGACACTGAGATGGGGAGGCAGCCCCGTTGCCATGGCAACCTGGGATGGCTGCGGGTTGGGGATGGAGAGGCAGCACAGACCCCCCCCCCCCCAGCACCTCCAAGGGACCCCCCAAAATGAACCACCTGTACCAGGGGTCCAAAAGGCCTCGGAGGGGGGTCTAAGGGATGAGGGGGGGTCTTTAAAATTGGGGTCCCTAAGGATTTGGGGGGGGTCCAAGGGTCTTCGGAGGGAGGGGGATCTCAAAGGTCTCACGGGGGTCTTTAAGGACTGGGGGGGTCCCAAATGATTGGCCTTGTATGGATCAGGGGGGCTGTGGGGAGTTATATAAGGCCCAGAAGAGGATGGGGGGGATGAAGGGGAGATGAGGCTGAGGGAGGGGGGGGTCGGTAGGGATGACAGCTGCAAAATGGGGTGGGGGGGCAAGGGGAGCAGGGCAGGGAAGGGCGGGGAGCTGTGGGATCCAGGGGTTGTAGGAAAAGGGGGTGCTGCAGGGAATGGGGGGGGGCATGGGATCTGGGGGTGGTTACAGGGAATTGAGGGGGGACAGGGAAAAGGGGCTGCACAATGCTGGGCTATGGGGACCGGGGGGGCTGGGAGCTTTGTGGGGAGCTGGAAGGAGTGGGGAGACTTGAGGGGGGCTTTATGGGAACCTGAGGGCTATAAGGACTGGGGGGGCTCTGTAGGAACTGAAGGGTCTGGGAGGAATGGGGGTCAATAGAAAGTGGGGGGAGTTCATAGTGAGGAGGGGTCTGTAGGAACCTGAGGGCTGTAGGAACTGGGGGGGTCCAGAGAGAAGCCTGCAGGGGTGGGGGATCTGCAGAAGGTGGGGGGGGTGTAAGGGCTGGGGGTGCGTTATGGGAGTGGGGGGGGGTCAGGGCTTTGTAGGGCTGGGAACGGATGGGGTCTGTGAGGCCGGGGGGGGGACCTATAGGGCTGCGGGGGCTATGGGCACTGGGAGGGGCCATAGGGACTGGAGAGGGCTAAAGGGGCTGTGGGGCACTAGGAGAAATGGGGAAGGTTATGGGGGCTGTGGGGGCTATATGGGGATTGTAGGGACTGGGTTAGGGTTAGGATAAAGGGGGTTACGGGGTTGGGGGGGGGCTGCAGGGAGCGGGGAAGATGTGGGGGGGCTATGGGGACGGGGGGGCTATAGGGGCTACGGCGGGCTCTGCGGTATACGGGGGTATGGGGCATATGGGGCTATGGGGTATATGGGGTATGGGGTAGCGGGGCGGCCGGGGGGGCCCCTGCGGGGGGGGTCCCATGGTGGGGGGGGCTGGAGAGGGACAGGGCCGGTCCCGATGCGGGCGGGGCCGGGGGGGGGGCCGGGGGGGGGGCCGGTTCTACATTGGGGTCCCTGTGGGGGGGGCGGGGGGGGCGGGTGTTTGGCTCCGAAATGCGTCACGGCTGCGGGGGGCCCCGACCCAACCCCCCCCACAGCGGACCCCAAAGCCGCGCCGCGCCGGCCCTTACTTGCCGATCTCCTCGTAGAGCTGATACTCGTCGGTGAAGCGGGTGCAGGGCACGGTGGTGGCCATGCTGCTGCTGCCGCCCCGCGCCGCGCCGAGCGCTCTGAGCGCCCGCTCCGCTCCGTCCGCTCCTCTTCGGCTCCGCTCGGCTCCGCTCGGCTCCGCTCGGCTCCGCTCGGCCCCGCCCGGCGCGGGGGGTGCGGGACGCGAAGAGGAGGAGGAGGAGGAGGAGGGGGAGGAAGGAGGGGGAGGCGCTGCCGCCCGGGGGAGGCTCCAGCCCGGGGCTGCCCCCCCCCCCGCCCACAGGGATCCCCCCCCCCACCCCGCCCCAATCCCCGCCCCTCCGGAGCCCCCCCGTAAAGGCAGCGGCGGGGCGCGCAGCCGGACCGAGCCCGACCCCCCCAGACGGCGCCGCATCCAGACCCCCCCTGTCCCAAATACCCCCAAATCCAGACCCCCCCATCCATAAATTCCCCCGTCACCAATCGCCCACCTCTAACCCCCCCCCCAAATACCCCCGCACAAACCCCTCTCCATATGTACCCCCCACTCCACAGCAGCTCCTCCCACACTCCCCCCTCCCACCGCGACCCCCCACTCCCCCTCAAGGTCCCCAAACGTTGTGCAATCCACCCCCACCCCCCACTCGCACCCCCCTCAGGACTCCCCCACAACACGCGTGGGGAGGGGGGGGAAACTCCCCAAATCCCCCGTCCCCCGAGGGACCCCCCGAGCCCACCAACGCTACGGGGGGGGGGGGGGGGACGGGACACGGTGACATTAAATCCCACCCCCGTGGGCGGAGCCGTGGGAACGGGGCCCACGGTGGGGGGGGAGCGCGAGTGGGCGGTGGGCGGCGTTGCCATGGCGACCGTGGGCGGCCGTGGGGCTGCGGCTGTGCGCTGCCACCGGGGATGAGGAGGGGACGAGGAGGGGCCCCCGAACCCCAAGGGACCCCGATGTCCCAGCGAGCACCTCGGGATGCCGCCGCCCCACGGGGCTGAAGGGGCCTTCGAGTGGGGCTGGGGACAGCGCGCGTCCCTGTGGCTGGGAGCATCACCACGGGCGGTGGCGTCCCCATAAGTGGCAGCGCGTCCCTACGGGTGGCAGCGGCCCCACGGGTTGCGGTGTCCCCGGGGCTGGCAGTGCCCCACAGGCAGTGTTGTCCTCATGGGTGGCAGCCTCCCCGTGACCAGCCGCGTCCCCACAAGCGGTGGAGCCCCCACCAGGAGCGGCGCCCCCGTGGGTGGCAGCAGCGGCCCCCACCAGCATCCCCGAAGCACTCGCACTCCCTGCGCTGGGAGCAAGGATTTATTGCAGCCGGGGGCAGCGGGGCGCCGCATCCCCCAGCCCCAGGCTGTGCGCTGGGCGGTCCCTGCTGCCCCCGGGGTTGGGGACAGGCGGGGACCCCGGGCAGGGCACGGCGTGGACGCACCCGCTGAGGGCGCAGCCGCCCGGGGCTGGGTAGGGAGGGGACGTGCACCCGCAGAAGCGAAAACCAGAAATATCCTCAACCACCAAAAATAATAATTATGTCACCCAACGAGCTCCGTCTATTCCTGAAAAACAACGGAGCCGTCGCCAGCGCGAGGCGAGGCGAGGAGAAGGGTCCCAGCGCCGGGTTGCCGTGGTGACGGGGACGGAACGCCGCGTCCCGAGCTGCGCCGGCCGTGGATGCCGGGGGTCCCAGCGCCGGGTTCGGGATCCTCCCCTCCCCGCATCGCCGCTCGGCCGCTTTTCTCCGGGGTCAAAACTGCACGGCGCCGGGGGAGATGTTGAACATGGAAGGGTCGAACTTCTGGCCGCGGAACGGGGAGCCCTCGGTGTCCCAGCCCTTCTTCAGCATCTCGTGCACCTTCTGCAAAGCGGAGCGGGCCCGTCACCACGGAGCCGCCCCACGGCCGTCGGGACGCCGGCGCTCTGCCCTCGCGCACGGGGCACAGAGGACCCCCAGCAGAGGCAGGACGAGCCGCGCTCCCGGCCTGCTGGCACCTACCAGCTCGTGGCTCTGCGGCTTCCCCTGCAGCTTCTGGTGGTAGTCGAAGGTGAGGCGGTCGAGCACGGCGTGCTCCTCCTCGTCCACCGTGGCCATGGAGCGCTCCTTGTTGATCTTGTCGATGTCGATCTGCTCCTCGCCCTCCAGGACGGCGTTCCACCAGTACTCGTCTCCCTTGTTCAGGTTGATCTGGGGACAACAGGTGGCTCAGGGAGTCCGTGTCCCACCCTGGGGATGCGTCACCCCAATCCCATCCTGCACCCCAAACCCATGTGCTGCCACAGGGACGCGTGGCCAGGCCAGGCCAGGGGACACAGCCGTAACCACGGCCCACACAGACACTGGGACATCACTGCTGCTGCCACATCGCCTCCAGCCCTGGAGGGGCAGCCCAAGGGAGAGGGGCTGCCGTCCCCGGGCCACCAGCCCACATCCCTGCTGCCGTGGGGCTGCGCTGGGCTTCCCGTTCCGCTGTAACTGAGCAACCATGGCAGTGAGGGAGATTTATGGCATCGGCCAGCGTCTCCGCAAAGCCATCCGTAAGGCAGACAACGCCACGCGGGCGCAGCTCCCCAGAAGCTCTGGAGGGCAAAACGGGGGCGGCCATAAAGGTTCAGGAGCCGGGATTGGTGCAGGAGGGGGCGGCTGGGCTCCGTCCTCCTGGGGGAGCAGCGCTGGCACAACACCGCGCCGTGCCAAAGGCGACAGCAAAGCGCCTTCCATCGGGCCCAATCCTGGGTGCTCAGCCAGCAGTGAGCATGAGGAACGCGCGGCCATGGGGTGCGTGGCCACGGGGCCTCGCAGCTGGCGCACAGCCCCGCGCAGGGGATGCGGGGCATCAGCCCCCTCCCCATCCCAGCTCCTGTCGCAGGGCTGGCAGTGGTGGGAAGAGCCCCGCAGAGCTGCGGCCCGCGGCCCCTCTCCTCCTCCCACCCCACGCACAGCCCTCGCTTTATTTACCACGTCCTGCTCCCGCCCTGCTGGGAAGGCAGAATTATTCATTTCCTCGGCAGCTTTTCTGCGCCGTGCATCACCGCCGCGCTGAGAGCTTCGCAAACAACCACTAATTAACCTCTGCGGCCCACCTCGCACATGCGGGGGAGTTTACTGCTCCCCCAGATTCCAGGGGCAGAGAACCCAAAGTGGGGCTCTCTCCGAGGCTGCAGTTCCACTCTCTAACAGAAGCCTCCGAGCAGAGCTCCTCAGGTGTGGGTCTGGGGTCTGGGGTCTGGGGTCTGGGGCTGGCCCATGGTGTGGCTCGGTTCCTGGGACGCAGCGCTGCACCAGCTGCGCCGTGCCCTGGGAGGCGGCCATGGAAGGCGGCTGCACGCCGGGAGCCCCGAGGGCTCTGCCAAGGGAACGGGGCTTCACCACAAGGACAAATAAATCTTGACCTGATTACGCTGCTCTCCGCATAGGGAGCAGAGCTCTGCCCCAGCTCAGAGCCACACGGTGCTCAGAGCCCCGCAGGAAGGATCGCGTGCCGGATGCCTCGCGCTCGGGTTGCACAGCTCTGCTTTGGGGCCGGTGGACGCCGGAGCTGAATGAAGCCAAGGGGCCGGGGCAGGATGGGCTGCAGCAGCAGGGCTGTGGCACCGCGTCCCCTCCCGTGTCCCTGCATCCTGCGAGGAGGGGCCCAGGCCTGCGCTGCGGCTGCCGCGCTTTGCCACAGCACCGGGTTTCCTCCTGAATCCCAAATGCCGCGTCAGATCTGGAGGGACGCTGCCAAGGGATGGAAGCAGGACTTGGAAAAGCCACCTCTCACCACCTGCTTCCCTTCCGACATGGCAGCAGCATCCCCAGCAGCCAGCGGGGGACAGGAGCTGCTGAGGGGGCACCAGGGAACGCCTCCAACAGCGCAGCGAGGTCGGGGAGCACCACAGATTGCTGTTAACTCGGCCTTCCAGCTCAGGAGATGACGGGCAAAGGCTGCAAGGGCTGCTCAAGGCAGGGCTGGGCGACAAAAGCCTGAGCGTGGATAACAAACACTGGAGGGAAGGAAAGAAAGAGAGGGAACGGGGGGAAAAAATCCTCAACAACGAAAATAATCCCCAAACGTGTTGTGCACAACACCCAGCAGAGACTTCTAAAAACGGCTCCCGCGAATCTATTTTCATCTCTTTTGACAAGTGAGCAGGCATGACAGCGAGGGCAGAGCACGGCGATGGCGGCCGGGGCTGCGGCGCCGGGCAGAGCGGGCAGCTCCAAAGCCACAGCCCTCGGGCTTCTGCCTCTGGGTGCAACGAGAGCCACAGCCATACTGAGGACACAGAGAAACGTGCTGAGGGCTCGGCCGGCTCTGGGAGCGAGGGGAAGGCAGAGGCAGCACGAGCACGGCTTCGTTGTGCCCCCACCTCGCTGGATGGAGGCTGCTGCCCTGCGTCCCAGCACAGAGCTCACGCGTCCTGCAGAAGATGCAGCCTGAGCGCCCAGCACCCTGCAGCACGCCGTGCTCAGGACCATCCGGCGCTCACCCAGCGGCTGCGGCACCGAACGGCCGCGTGCCTCCTGCTGAATGAACGGGAAGGAGCCGCCCAGCGCTTTCGGCCACTCTGCGCACGGAGGAAGGAGACGCTCCGGGTTGAATTACTCACTCTGCTCCAGTTACCTTACAATTCTTCCAGCGAAACTTCATCCCACCATCAATATGCTGGCAGCCAGCTGGAGTTCCTCGCACCCCTGCGCTCGTGCTCATTTGAGGCCCTTGCCTTCAGCTCGGGTTGTTGATGGGGCGCTGCTCCCCACGGCCACGGCACAACGCCCCAAGCCTCGCTCTGCCCGCGCTGCTCCGCTCCTCCCCCAGCTGCGTAACACCGATCTCGGACGCACACAGGACTGCCAGCGCCCAGACACAGCTCTGGGGGGGCAGCTCCTCCCCAGCGGCGTTGCTCCTTCCCAGGATTGCGCACGTGCCCAAAGCGGATGGTTTTCAAAAATTCCATGTTTGAAAGATGCTGATTAATGACCCCATTGCCTTCTTCTAAACCTCCTTCAGATGGCCAAGTGAGCTGGAGGTGCTCTTCTCCCCCACAGGGCCCTTCTGGCAGCAGATCTTTGCCCCAGAACATCTTCAAGGCCAGGCTGGATGGGGCCTCTGGCAGCCTGGACTGGGACCAGATCTAGAGCTTCTTTGCCCTGCCTGCGGCAGGGGGTTGGAACTTGATGGTCCATTGGGTCCCTTCT